TGGGAATCCCGACAGCATCACACACGTCCGTGTCAAATGCCCGCTCAAGCTCCGCACGTCTGTGCTTCACTACAAGTCCCCAGACATCGCCATCAAAGCGCACACGGTGACGTGTTACAACATTGCTATATTCTGATGATGCTTGCGAATCGTTGTTGAGTGGTAAAGATTGTGAAGTACTTTTCTTTGGTGATTTCTTAGGCTGAGATCTCGTAGGAATTATTTCTGTTTCTGCTTTTTTCTCCTCTGTGGGAGTTGTGGAATATGTTTCCGTGGAGTGTGTTTTTACTGATATTTTTTGCGATTTATCGTCTTCTTTGCAGTCCTCTAGAATGGTTACTTTACAGTGTTCTTCGTGTTTGCTTGTTAACTTGTTTTTTTCATAAATACTCCATACGCTTGGATATCCGTGCTCGGATAGTATGTGATCAATTGTGTTTTTTGTTGTTGCTGTAGGGTGTGTTATTGTACATTTAACGAAAAGCGTTTGGTTGTCCAAGTTAAGTTGACAGCGTGGCTTGTCGATAGCGTTTGTAACTTCACATATTTCAGAAGTTAAGGCCTTTAGAAGCTCTTCTTTCTTTGTTTGAAGAATAGCACGCCATTCCACCCCATGAAAAAGCATTTCATGACTCGTAGAAAGTTGTAATGGTTTTAGTTCTGGCATGCTCTCTTCAGTGACAGATGTTACACTTTTTGTTCCCTGTTCCATATTACCTTCTTCCTGTAATTCATCCGTTGTGCCTAATGAATCTTGTATTTTATCCAATGATGGTGATTTATACAACTCGTTATTTTTACTTATTTTAAGATCATTTGTACGTTTTTTCCTTTCCTCAAAGAAAAGCAACCAAATATCCTCGAAATTGTAGGCAAGAATTTTTTTATTAATCTCCTTTCCAGAGATATCTGGAGAATGATGGACGGAAAAAACTGCAGCAAGGGAACCCATCGAAAAAATGATGTCGAACACACTGACCTGCGAAACATCCAACAACTTTAATATGGTATTACGAACTGTTTCATAGAGTTTTTCGCGATATTCCTCTAAAACAAATTTCCATTCATCTCCTTTGAAAGCCAATTTGTGGTAGGTTGTCACAAAACCATCTGCAGAGGATGGATGTAGATCGGCGCCTCGATTATCACACTGCGGTAGCTCTTCACAGGTAGTTGGTGTCAAGAGTGCATATTTTTCGTTGTTGTATATAAGCACCGGTTGACCATCGAGTGTTACGTCCATCTCCTTCCCTTTGTTGCATGCCCCCACATCATCGCATCCATTATTTTTTTTACTCCCGGAAACATCCATCTCTGCCTAAAAATTGCTCTTTAATTTTTAAAAACTATAACACGGAAACTTTCTCCCTGTGTGGTTCGCCTAACCTTACCTAAAATGTTCTCAAAGTTTATTCTTTGAACCACTCTGTGTATTTTTTTTTTTTTTCTGGTTTCCTTTAGTGGAAGGGGAAGGGGGAAATAAACTTCCTATTTAAAAAATAAAAATAAATAAAACAAGAAAAAAAGTAAAAAATCAGTCAAATAATAGTAATCCTCTACAAAAAAAAAAACACTTTGTCCAGAAAAGGAAAGGTAAATAAAAAATAATAATAATAATAATAATTATTATTATTATTATTATTATTATTATTATTATTATTATTATAACTGTTTCTATTAATGTTTATTCTACAGAGTGGTTAATTCCAAGTAAAAACTCATGACATTGTTTATACGATCTTGTTATTATAAATCTAAAGATCGGTTATTCTTATTCTCCATTTTTGCCTTTTTTTCAAGACTCGAAATCTCGTCAACAGTATGATCAATGGAATTATTTGTTTTTAGTGCTTCATGAAAGTCCTTTCCCAAAGCATCTTTACCGAAATGAGGAATGTCAATAACCCAAGGCCTGTCTTTAGCAATAAGTGGGGATTTATCTTCACTACCTTCAGATTTCTGCAGCTGAAGAGTACTTGCATATGGTTCAGGATTAAGAGGATCATAAGGTAAGAACAAGATGGGTTCATCTTGAGATCCCTTTTTTTCTTTTTTTTTAATACGCACTTCAATCAGACCATCGCCTTCTACAGAAGAAGGAAGGGGAATCGGTCGAGATGGAGTCACACTAAAAAGTTCGTCCGAAATTTGTATAAAGGATTCACTATCATAGAAAACCCCAAGCTCATAAGAACGTATAGCCAGCTGAGTTCCCTTCTTTTGCCATTCACCCCATGCAGCACGAGAAAGATTAGCACTAGTTAAAATTACCCATTTAAGTGCATCTTTCTTTTCAGTTAACCGCATATATGATTTTATATGTGGTACCGATTGCTTCCTTGTAATCTTGTTGTCGTTCATGTCTTTTGCGCTAAACCCCCAACGGTACAGACGTTTATTGATATAAGGATGACAACAAGCAAGTCGTAGAGGTAGTGAAAGACCTCCAATCCAACCCTCCAAACTATCCCGCACCTCAGACTCTGTTGGGTACACCACTTGAACCATAGGGCGAAACTGTTCTGATATATCTTTATTTTTTATTTCACTTACCATCGCACTTTCCATTTTAACCAGAAAAGCATCAGTTAGTCTGCCTTGAGAACTAAATTGCCACGTTAAGAGAGGTGTTTCCGATTTATCACTTGTTCCCATATATAGAGATTCCAATAAACTCTCAATTCTTCCCATTCCAAACAAATACGCATCAGAACCGCGGTGATAACCTGGAACAGATGATATGAGTTCAACACTAGCGTTACTAAAATCAAATTCATCAAACAATGTATTGGGAATGCCGTTTTCATCACTTAAAGAAGAAAACACATTATAACTATTAAGGTATCTACGTAATTCATTTTTGAATCGATTCCCTCGATTATCCTGTATATTTAAAGGTATATAACTTTCCTCTGTAACCTTATCTATATTAGATCGTTTAGGAAAATCTTGTACATAAATTCCTTGGGTCTTTTGAGACCAATCACTCTCTATAAAATTTGCAGTAAAAATTGCTACCCGTATACCATTTTCATTAACACAAATAGCAAGCTTAGTGTGGTGTACACCAAAGGGAAGAGGCAATTTTGGCTCTATAAACCTGATTCTACCCTTATCTATAGCACCAGAGAAAGATGATGATGAAAATTGTTGCGCCAAACCTTTCTCCCCCGAAACTAAAAAAAGCTTTTTCTTTGTTTGCAACAATGATGGAGCCACCGAAAAGAGCCATTCCATGTCAAATAAAAAATTAGCCAACAAAACATAACTCCAAACCTCATTTTGGTCGTCCACATTGGTACATAACAAATCCCTCAATGTCAACGCAGAAGGAGAATCTATAGAAAGTGCGTCTATCTTATTAACCCAAAAAGGGCACAATAACCTCATTCTGGCGCAAACAAGAACGAATCCCACGATATATATATATATATATATATTAAAGTAACCTCTCTATGACTCTATCAAGGAATAAAAAAAAAAATAGTAACAGCAGGAATTGTTTCCCTAAAATAAAATAAAAAAACCAAAACACACACACACAAAAAAAAAAAATGCATCACCACGTTTAACCAAAACCAGAGACAGTAAAGAGAATTACAATAATAATAATAATAATAATAATAATAATAATAATAATAAATAATAATAATTATAATAATGTCACAGAAAACTCTACTAGAAGACGGAAAAGTACAGCAATCATGTCACAAATATAAACGGCAAATATCCCCTATTAACAGCTACAATGGCGTTCAGCGGGGGAAACATAATCATCCGATGTTTCATTCAAATTTATTTTTACGCCACGAGATCTAGGAGGAGGCACACCAAGGCGCACAGGCATTTTACTTGTCATCCCATCAGAGACTGGTTTTAAACTTTCTTCTACTATTCGACTACTCTTTTCAATTCTATCGACGACATTTGCCGCCACTGCTTCAAATGGTTCAGCAACGCGAATCCCTAATTTTGCACTGACAATAAAATGTTTTGCATTTTGCTGGCGAGCCCAATCTTCGGCCTCTCTCACTGGAACTCGACGCTCACGCTCTAGATCAATTTTATTGCCAACAATGACAACAGATATATTTTGACTACCAACTACTTCTTGAAGTTCCTTCAACCAGATCTTTACTTTTAAAAAGCTTTCGTAATCAGTTATGTCGTAAAGCAACACCGCACCATGAGCATCACGGTAGTAGATAGGACCCAATGCATGATAACGCTCTTGCCCAGCAGTATCCCAAATAGAAAGTACTGCTACAGTCCCATTAGAAAGGTCAATTTTTACGTTAGCGTACATTGATGCTTTAGTTGTAGAGCTACAATCATCATCGAAGGAATTATTGACGAAACGTTGCAGTAAAGATGTTTTCCCCACTCGACCTTCACCCAGCATTACTATTTTCATTTTCATGATCCTGTCACTCATTGGAACGAAAAGCAAAAGGAAATCAGGGGAAAAATAATTCTCCTATTTGTTCCTTCTTATTTTTCCTTATTAATTAAAATCAAAAAAAAGAACAAATAAAAAAATAAATAAAAATAAAAATAGAGCGAAAAGAAAATAAGAAATCCTATCATATAGTTTTATTTATTTTTTTTTTTTTAAGCCTCCCTTCGTGAGAACCATAGAGTGATAAAAATTTTTCATACAACAGTCACTCAAGTTGCGGGTGATCCTTAAAAAATTGTTTCTTGCTCTAGCAGTGATAACGAATAAGCAAAGGTGCGTAGCGAAATATAAATAAATAATAGGTCAAACCAAACGTTGAAAAAAAAAAGAAAAACAACAAAAAAACAAGAAAAAAAACTAGAAGCAAGAAAAAAAAACTAGAATATTTTTTATCTTAAAACACAAAATAAATAGTAATAATTTACACAAGATCCTTCTTAATGGTATAGGGAATGGAAAATCCAAGCCTTACTTTTTCCTCAAGGAATATAAAAGAGGGAAAAAAAAAGAGAAAAACAATATGTTGCTTTACCGTCTTGAACCCTCCGTTCCCGTAATACATATATAAATCCCGATATTTTTGCTCCCAAAGGTTATTCCCTAAATAAACCAAAAGAACTGACGAAATGGAAGTGGTAAGAAATTCTTTTAGCCCGCCTCCCGTTCGGGTAGTATGGGTTGGGTTGGAGTTTTTTTTTTTTTTTTCAGAAACTTATGTGTGACGTACTGTCAAAAAATAAAAATAAAAAAGAAAAATAATATTCCCAGCACCAAATCTCATACATAATTTGATTTTTATTAACGTAAGAGTCGATCATTCTTTTCGTAAGCTATCAAATAAAAAAAAAAAAAAAAACATATCATGGAATCAAATGAGTAAATTGCTCATATTTAATTTATCCATTCATGAAATGGATAAAAACCACTCTATTCAGCAGAAAAGAACGGGAGAAAAAAAAAATGGGAACACATGAAAATAACATTCCAAAGTTCCGTCATACTTTTCTCTGTTGTGCAAATTCCCGATAAACTTCTGTTGCTAAAAAAAAAAAAAAAAAAAAAAAAAAAAAAAAAAAAAAAAAAAACTCCACCTTCTTACAGAAATAAGTTCCCGATAATATCATACTAAAGTCATTATGAGGACAACGGAAATTGTGTCAAGGAAAATATATATATATGAAACATAACTCCAAACCCTTCTATACGAAAGATTAAAAGTTCCCTCATTATTTCTATTTTACACGTGCGGGTGAGATGGGAAATACCATGAAAAGTACGGCAAGTGGTGCGAAACAACCCCCCTTCGAGAATCCGAGAAGAACCATTGAAGCAGCACAAAGGCTTTCCCCTCCCCGAACGGCGGCAAAAGGAGGAAGAAGACACGAAAATAATAAAAAAACCCACACGCCACAAAGAAAAAAAAAAACCGGGGGACGCCCCCTTTTTGTTCCTTCTTTTCCCGCCCGCTCCTTTTCTTCCCCTTCGTGCGCGTTTTTCCCGGGGCCGGGGCTCTCCCGCACCTGGTTTTCTTTTTTCCCCTTCGGGATCCCCGGCGACAGGGGCGGTCCAGAGGGGAAAAAAAGGGCGAAAAGGGCCCGCAACGCCGCGGAAAACGGCAAAAAAAAAAAAAGAGGAGAACGGGCGCCACTTCGGTGGGACGAGGCCTTGGGAAAAAGGCCCGTGCCGGCGATTTTCGACCCCACCGGGTTCTTATCCTGGGGCCCCGGGGGGAGGGGGGAAAGAGGGGCCAAAAAGGGCGTCATCGGTTCAGGCCCCGATTCCCCTCTTTTGGCGAAAGGGGAGGGAGAAAACGAACCCCAACATAACGACCCAGCGCCTCAAACCCCGACGCCCCCCGCAACATTTGCGCACGCATCCAAATTTTTTTTCCCCTCCACAATTTTCCTCTTTTTAAAAACGGGACTGGCGAAAATGAAAATGGTGGTGGTGGGGGGGGTCCCTTTTTTAAAACCGCCTCCCGCTTGGGGGGTTGGGAGTTGGATTTTTTTTTTTTTTTTTTTAAGGGGACTTCCGTTTGACTGATTCGCGCGCATTGCCGGTTATCAAATAAAAGCAAAAAGAAAAAAAAACAGAAAAGAATAATCTTAGCCTTACTTCCACAATAAACAAGAATAGAAAAACAAAAAGAAAACCCTGTATTTAACCTCAAAGGATTGGAACCCCATCGAGTTTAAAAAAAATAAATTGTATTTTCCCAGACAGTTATTTATTTAAAAACATCCTAAGAACTGACGAAATGGAAGTGCTGAGAAGCCCCTTTTAACCTGCTCCCTGATCGGGGGAGGTGGGGGTTTGGTTGTTGGATGAGCTTTTCAAAAACTTACGATTAACACGCTGTTAGGAAAGGAAAGAAGTAAAAATATTCCTAATAGTTAAAACCCATACAAGATATAAAAGTCAGTAAGACTTTATCATTCTTTTCGCAAGCTGGCAAAAACAAAAAACAGAATATGCCTTTCCTACTTTGGTCGAAGGTAAAACAAATAAATAGAAACAAATAAACAAACAAATAATCTATAGAGTTTCGAATGATTCCAAAACACAAAATAATCATGAAACGATAGCAAGCAATAAACAAACGTAAAATCAAAATTATCTATGCCGCCGAAAGATTACCCGGCAGGACTTACGAAGTGGCAGATTCTAGAGTCCCTTCCTCTCCAGAACCCTCCGCTCCCCTTCGCAAGTTGAACCCCCTTCGCCAAGTCCACCGTAGAGAACACGGCGCCCCGTGACAGGCCGTCCGCTGGGTTGTCCCGAGATTCAACGTACTCGAAAGATGCTTGTACTCCTCGGGAGTCCAAAATTCTCAAAATGCGATGCAACTCCCATGTCAAAGCATACGATTTTGCGTGCCCCTTCCTTGCGGAATGCTGCAAAGAAGTATTGTCCACAAAAACCTGTATGTGCTGGGGCAAGATCTCTGCAAAAGCGAGAAGAGCTAAACGTACAGCTCTGGCCTCCGCCTGCACTATTAACGCCGGCGGCGTTATCCAAGTGCCGCCTGCAATCTTGACCTCGCCTGATTCCAAAAACATGATCGCCCCCCATCCATGGAGGGAGGCATCCGTGATCAAACGCTTCTCGTTGCGGAGCAGCGTTCGTAATAAGACACGGCCCTCTCGTGTTGCTGACCGAGGGAGACGGGCCTGTGCGGTTAAGGAAAGCCGTCCGCGGTTCAACGCAGATAATCGTCGCCGCACGGCCTTCAAGAAAAAGAAAAATTTTGTCAGACGAACCCCCAGTATGGCCGCCGCATACAGGAAACGAGACACCGCGACTTCCATTTCCGCGACCGTCCATAACCTTAATGGTCTGATGTCCTGCAACTTGCCTATACATTTCGTGCTCAGACCCACGGTACGCGAACTGTGATCGAAAACGACACCCAAAAAGGTATACGAATGTGCCACAGAAATCACTTCTCCGATAGTGGCGCGACATTCGTCTGCCCGTCGTCTCACTTGCTGCTCCCATTTGACGACCTCCTGTGAGTTACCGGAGATGCGAATATTGTCAATCCAAACATCCAAACGCAATTCGCATGGAGCCGCCCAAGTGGGTTTTACCATCTCCGGAACACCGGCGATGACCGATGTAACTGTCTGTAAAATTTCCGGGCTCACTTTATAACCCATAGGTAAACGAGTTAATTCCACGATAGAATTATCCGCCACGCGGCAGCTAAAGAAACGCCGGGTCTCGAGTGGTAATTCTACCTGGAAAAAAAGAGGCTTTTAAATCCAAACATGACGCAGCCTCCTCCAATACGGCTGGCAAGTAACGCGAGATATGTTCCAACGGTACCTCCGCCTCACAAGGATCGTCCTTATTTTTTTCACGAGGCCATGCAATCCATCGACGGCGTTTCCCTGTGGGTTTTTCCTCAATGACAGAGAAAGGTACGACCCAAGATCCCGTCTCGAAAGACGATGCGTCCGTAATCACACCTGCGGCTCGCAGCAGAACTGCGTCCGCGACTGGAATGGCTCTTTTGCTCTCTCGGGGGCTCGAGCGCGGTGGTAAACTGAGCAAAGACCAGATATGTTTAAAACGTTGTAAAACGGAACCTTCCAGACGCGAAAGGATCCATTCGATATCCAGCACCGTCACTTGAACCTGTTGAAGGGGAATAAGAGATTCATCCTCTGCTGAAGCAATGCGGGTAATCTGCTGTCGACGTGTGATGGTACTGCGGCCCCCTTCCGGGAGGAATCCAGGGCTCGAAACCCCTTTGGAAATCGCGTATTACATCATCTCCACCACCGACGACACCTTCGTGAGCAAGGTCGTGTAACGCCCCAGATAACGCGCCGTGTTCTGCGGAAGATCGAAAGGATCCACGTGTTTTGCGAGTTGAGCGATCACGTGTGAATCCATACCGTGCGCCTCGACCAATTCTGTCGCGTGCCTCAATGCACCGCGCTTGATGGAGTGAGCCGTGGCCCCGTAAGGAGGCAGAATGCGTTCTACGTCGGTGGTCGTCAGCTTCGTTAGACGTTCTTCCGGGCGCAACGTGTGCAGTAGTTGAATCAGAGCAAAAGCGTCCTTGCCCTGTATCTTGATAAAGCGGGACGCCCGGTGGGGGTCCATTTTTGCTGTCTTCGGAGCCACTGCCCAATCTAAAATCACAGATCCGTCTTCGGTCCGTTGAAAGTTTTTCTTCGTAAGTGCCGCGATTTCCGACCATCGACTCGCCGTTATCTACGCCAAGCGGAACACCGTCTGTTCTTTCCAATCCTTTCGGGGCCGAATGATGGTATCCATTTCGTTCTTCGGCAACGGTCTCGCTTGTTTTATCTCTGAGCGCGCTGCAATCTTCTGCAACCCCATTATGAACATATCCATTGGCGTTCTGTCCATGTTTACCATTGCCCTCAACATTCGCGCATATTGTAACTTCGTGGACGGGGCTACTTATAGAGGGCCCTTTCGCCCAAACGAATGATAGATTGGGGAGGGTTGTCCAGATCTTTTATCGTTTTCATCCATTCGTACAGAGCGTCAAAATCCTCTTTTACTTGCGTGGACGTGTGTGTCCAATATTCGAAAGAACGACGCAGATCCATTTCTAGAGCGCAAGTTCCCCATTGCGTAATCGAGGAATCCATGATGATACATCAAAAACCTGAAAATCCGGCTCAATGATCGCAGGCGCGTCAACCTCCCAATCATTATTATCCTCTTCGGAATCTCCAAAAAAAGGTTTTTCGTCACGAGGAGGAGGGGGTGGCCCCTGATTCCCCACTCCATCTGTAAATTTGGTAGACCGATGTCCCTTAGGACTCGTGCCGAATTCCCGAGCGGGCTGCGGCGCGTTAGACATAGGATCCACCCAGCGGTCCGCTTTCTTCGGGCGGGTGTTAAAAAGTTCTTCTGAGCGCTTATTAATATCAGCGTGCTAACGCGATAATTCCTGTGATTTGGCCTCCAGCTGTTGGTCTCGGCGCTCGAGTTCTTGCCTCGCCTGTTCCACATACGCTTGGAACGCTGCGTTACGGCTGTGAAAATCTGCGTCGCGCCGGTTCAATGCTTCCTTGTAAGCTTCAAGGGTCGCAGCCGTTGCTGCGTAAGTTCTGTGATATTCATCCCATTTCGCGTCGAGCACCCCTTTCTCCCAACCAATATTCTGAAAAGCTGAAAAAACAGAGTACAGATACTTGGCCTCGAAAGTAGGCCAATCGGGAGTATGCATATTGGCAACCCGATTTTGTAAGGAGGGATCGCACCAGCGTTTCCATAATTCGCCGTGCTCCAAACAAAGTCCGCGCTGGGTCCATGCTGGTGGACATGTGTTTCTAAACTCTTCCCGAATTCTTCCCATTGTGGAGCAGAGTAGGGGATCAAAGCCATACTTAAAATCCTTGACTTTAAAAGAAAAAACCAAAAACTTAAATCCTTTCTATTCGATTAAAACCTAGGCTCTTTGACTACAACAACAAACCCACAAGGGGAAAAAGGTAAAACATAACTCAAACCCAAATAATAGTAGACCCAAACCGGATGCTTATTCTTTTCACAAGCTCCCAACACAGAAACCGAAAAAAAAAAAAAAAATAAACGCTCCAAACCGGATAACGTGGAACTCCGTTAGAACGTTTTTGATGATCCATAGTTTCTATTCCTGGACCGAAGTCCATATCAGGAATTACTCTGATAAGAACAGTTTAAAAACTTGATCTTAGCTAAATAGCCGAGAAGATATGATAACCAATTAATAAAAATTATTAAAAAATTTTTAAAAAGTATAATAAAAAAAATTTATAATAATAATTATTTAAACTTTAAATCAAAGGCCGCTCACTATGAATTATCCAAGTGGGTGAAGATATTATGTTTTTCTATAAAGTTTTCTTTTTAAAGCATCAGGTTCGGGATCATATGGAGGCAATTTTTTCCCTCCCCCCACCGAAGAAAAAAAAAAAAAAAAAAAAAAAAAAAAAAAAAAAAAAA